TCAAAAGTTAGACGAGGAATAAGCATGAAATAGAAAACAAAAGAATAAGCTGGGTTGAAATTACGCTGTTCAAGTTGTAAGCTTTGAGGAAAGATTTTGAAAGTTGAACTCACTTAATTGGGATGTTCTAAATTCAATGGCATGCCCTGTTTTACCAGATTGGCTCCGGTTTTCGAGATAATGGTACTTGAAAATTTGATTAAATTTTAACTATTTTATAAATAACTCCCTCAATTTTGAAGTTATTTTACTAAAATTTTGCACATAACAGTTTTTTAATATTACCTTAATTATTTCTTAAAATTATCGAAATAGGTTAACATTACAATACAACTGATTACTCAGATATGTGTTTTTGCGCAATAACTCTAACTTCATATCTGAATAATAAATTGTATGCGTGCTATATGTTAAATTGAACCTATACTAAATTTTAACCTGTTTAATTGAAGGAGTTATAACGCAAAACAACGTCTCAGATCAATCAGTTGTATGGGACCTATATGTTTTAGTAAACCGATTTCGATGATTTTATGGAATAGTTAATTTAATATTAAAAAACGGTTATGTGCAAAATTTTAGTAAAGTATCTTCAAAACCCAGCGACTTTTTTTATAAAATAGTTAAAATTTAAGGAAAGTTTCAAGTACCGCTATCTCGAAAAGTGGAGCCAATAGGGTAAAACTTAGGACGCCATGGAATTCAGAAGGCTCCAATTAAGTAAGGGCAACTATCAGAACATTTGTCGAAAAAAAGTTGCTTTGATACCACTCTCGAAATATTCTGACTAAAAGAAGTAGCATCATTAAGAGTAGTAAATCAGGGTTTTTACACACTTCTAGAGATAAATTTTTTGAAGCATTTTACAGGTATATGTAATTTTATAAGGACTAGCAGTTATAGAAAGATTTAGATCGTTTCGACGTGTTTTCCAAATGTGGCTTTAATTAAAGTGTTTTTGAATAAAAATTACGCTCAAGATCGCAGAATATTTTATCTTTAAAAGTTGGTTTATTCTGAAAGCACAGCTCTTGCTCAGGTATGAAATTATTCGTAATTGTTTGTAGTATACAATACATACTTAAAAAGTTCTTAAACTTAAATGCTTCAAAAACTATACGCGATAAACCGAAAATTTTGAAAATTGTGAAATGTGGAATTACAGACTTTGAGTTACTTGCCATTTCGTTATTTTTTAATGCACACTTTTCTTACCTACTACATTTGAAGTGTACACATAAGTACTAATTGCACATACAATTTCAAATCAGTATATGGTGTGCTTCAAAAGTTATGGCATAATTAATTTTTCACCTCTTAAAAATTACATAAAAAATTCACTTGTTTTCATTATTATTTTTTATTTAAACACCTATAATTCAAAAGTTATGCGGCAAATTGATCCAAATTTTTTTTGAGGCTTCAAGTATACGTCAATGAATTATATCCAAAAGCAACCAGCTTGATATAGTTTCCAACAGTGAAAATAAAGCTAAAAAACACCAAGGTTACCTGTTTTTTAGATTTGCCCATATGCTAAAATACACACACATTTTTTGTATATAAGGAGATATCCATGGGTGGGGAAATTTACGAAATTTCCGGCAAAATCTGGGAATTTCATTGTCGAAATCGGGGAATTCTCAAAAATTAGTTGGCTAGCCTGATGCATATACTTACACATATAAACTAGACGAGAAATACTCTGCAAACTGTTAAAATCTGCAGTTTCAGAATGGAACTTTTCGAAGTATTAATCGAAATAGAATAACATGAAGGTATCGAAAATAGCCTGATGTCAAAAATGTCACATAAATTTTAGTCAACACTTGTACAATGAAATTACAGATTTTTAATTTTAATATTATATTACCAAATACAACTAAAACTTTCTGGAGCTAAAAATTGATAGGTAGTTTTGAAAAGAGCTAAAAAAGAAAAAGAGCTAAATAGGAAAATAAAGAGCTAAATCTAGCTCAAAAAGCACCAAAACGTCAACAGTGGATGGAGTCACCTAAGAACCTCTTCAGGCCTTAGGGACTGGGCCACCAGCTTAGTAGCCCCCTGTTACTCAATCCAAACGGCACCATCCGCCTAGGCGGCTACCCACTCGCGCAACGCGCAGGTGCGAACTAGCACCCAAATATTCTGCACGGAACCAAGAAGCTCCCCTAAGCAACAGAAAACCTCCCCACGCCCTCACACCGCTCTACCATTCGCTCCAACTCGCGTGTGAGAGCGAACCAGCAGCTCTTGGTTGCCCACACGATCTGCTCCGTGTTTATCTACAGAGTATACCGGAATGTGGCATCAATCAAATGCAATACATGCCTTGGCTGGTGCCCCCTATTCACGCGAGTGGACAACAAGCTATCCCGCCCCTGTTGCAGAGCGCCGCCGCCGCAGACAACATCGCAGCCACCCACCATCAGGCAGCAACAGCAACAGCAACTGCGGCGACCGCAACAGGCCCCAGGTAGACCCCACACCTCACTTACCCCTCGTATCGCGACCAGCCTCCCAAGGCATACGAAACTCCTACAAATGAACTTTAAAAGACTCCAGATAAAGATTGAACAGATAGCAATCTTCATGGGTCGGCATGGCATATTGATAGCTGCGATCCAAGAAACAAAATAGCACAGCAACTCAACGCTGTTGAGTTGTGCCGCCTACAATGTGATTCGTAAAGATCGTGAGCGAGTTAATGGTGGAGGATTAGCGTTCATGTTACATATGCCGAGCTCGAAATATTTAACGTATATATGTATACCCCCTGCCACCTGCTTTCCTGACATACTCAGAGGTGAAAACCGAATGGTGGTAGGTGAATTTAACGCGAACCACAATCTGTGGCATTCAAGCCTGGTAAATGATCGTAGGGGAAACTTATTGACTGAGCAGATAGACGATTCGACTTTCTGCACCACGAACGATGACTCTCCCACCAAGACTGTGGAAAGCTGCAGCAGTTCGCCACACCTAAAAATTGCCAGCGCTGGTCTGATAAAAAGCATAACATGGCGACCTAAGCTAATTCAGACCATCGAATCCACATCAACTTTAACAAAGCTGATTGGATAGGCTTCGCGGAAGTTATCGAGCGCAGATTCTCCGCCCTTCCCACACCCGCAGACACACACGCTGGGAAGTCACTGTCGCAGCGGTCGATCCCGAGAGCCTCGAGTGAAGAACCTTAGTTTGGAGATTCCGCAACTGGTAAATCAGCATAAGCAGAAAAAGTGGTGGGAAGAGCACTTGAAGACCTGCAACCTCGCTTCTGGTGTGAGTAAGCTCTGGGCAACAGTGAGGTCCCTGTCGAACCCGAGGAGGCGCGACGACAGAGTGGAAATTTCATTCCATGGCCGCGCCCCGTCGGACCCGAAGAAATGCGCAAGCTAATTTAGCTAGCAGTTCACATTGCATCCCGCGGTAGATAGGGCCAAACGTCGAGTGACCAAGAGGCTGCAAAAACTAAACAAAAATAGTGCACCACTTACTTTCCCCAGCCGTGAAGTGAAGGTGGCCAGCGGGAAGGCGAAAGCCTATAAATACATTAGACCCGACGCAATGCTGATGCTGAAACATTTGGGCCCCGCGAGAGATCCTCAACCAGTTTATGGCCACTCTCATCATTCCTGATGTGTGGAAATCGTGGAGAGTGGTCCCACTGCTGAAACCGGGGGAAACCCACCAACAAAGAAGACTCATATCGCCCGATAATGCTCCTTTACCCGCTCGCGAAGACACTTGAGGCTCCCTTGCTTAACACCACAAACACCCAGATAACTCGTGGCCTAAACCGCAAAGCCCCTGTGAGAAAATAGTCCTAGTAGCGTTGGACTTGTCAAAGGCATATGACACCGTCTGTCACTCCACACTACTAAAAGGCATTGAGGTTTCCTCTCTCCCACAGAGACTCAAACGGTGGTCGGCGAATTATATGAGTGGTTGACAGTCGTCAGTAATCTTCCGAGATCAAACCTCGAAATCTAGAAGAATCACACATGGTGCTCCACAAGAAGGTATTCACTCCCCCTTACTGTTTAACTTCTATATCTTGAAGCTCCTACAGCCACCTGAGGGAGTTTCCCTGATCATACGCTGACGACTGCTCGATATTGGCGTCTCAGAATGGAATTGATGACCTCTACTCAAAAGTAAACGGCTATCTCTCCAGACTTTCTCGCTTTTTCACTGCAAGGAGCTTAACACCCTCCCCAACGGAATCAAGGATGCCCATGAGCCTGGTTGGTCTCCGCGATCCAGTTGGACGGCAGCGGACGAAGTTACAGACTTGTCAGAACGCCGAACTCTGGGCAGCGACAGGGTTCCTTCTGATGTCGCCTGAGCACCACCTACACAGCGACGCCCAAATTCTTCTCATAAGGAAGCACAATAAAATGCTCTGCCAGACGCGGACACCCGAACAGAGCCTTGCTAGTGGAATAGCCTTCGACCAGGTATGTCAGGGAGCACCTATTCGTTAACAAAGACACGGTTCAGACTTACATCGACCAACCAGAGTACCGTACCAACGGGCGATCAACGGCATTAACCACCTACCACGAATCCCGGCTAATGTATGCCGTGATCGGAGCCCAATCACCACCTGCGTCAGACATGGAGCTTCAACTGCTATGAGAGACCCGCTTTGCCCTGAAGTTATGGTCTAGATACTGTAGCTGCCTCAACAGCTACCTGTCCAGACTCGACCTCAATATCCTGAATGAGTGTCAGGCATGTGGAGACTCCCCGCACGACACCAACCACTTCATATGCCAGCTCAATCCTACTCAACTAACACCCCCTTCCCTTTGGTCCACCCTGTTGAAACTGCCCTTTTCTTGACGACAATGATTGATGGATGGACCGGAATGGGCGGTGCTTAGTAGCGCCGTACAACAATAACCTGAAAATAAGGTGCGTGTCAACATACATAAATTTGAATTGTGTTTTAGAAGGAGCATCAGTGTATGTACATTTATCCCATTACTTACGTTCTTTTCTGATTTAACAAGGCTTTAAACGTTTGAATTAATTCCAGATAGGAAGTAGGAGTCACATAGTTGTAACGTTTTAAACGCAGGGCAAATATTTCTGATAAATTCTGCGTTGATGTATGGAACTCCATGCACATATCAATGGCTGTCTTGCGCTCCAAATCCGAAAGGTCTTCACTGGCTAAGAAACGCGTCGACACAGCTAATAAAGCATCCTCCGGCCATGGCTGGAACCAATCGATCGTACAACAATTCACGATGGAAGGAAACTTTCGTATGCGCATGCGTAGTGCATCACCAATTGGTGACATGGCCAGTACGATGTGCAGTTGATCACGGCAGGTCTATGGAAAGATTGAAAGTGTAGTATAAAATACGTTGTGATCTTTTATTTAATTCGTATTTACCGTGACGAAGAAATTGAAAAGTGCCACCGGACTTCCGTCGGTCTGCAGCGATTTGTCTCGCTGCTTATCGATTTGCGCCATCTTCTCCACTACTTCGACCTTATCCTCGTTACTGAATAAGTTAGGCACTTCACCGGAATTAAGTAAATTATTAACATCCTCCAAAAAGGATTCGTCTTTTATCTGTTTAAAAAAAATAGTTTCCAACAGGTCTGTTATATATGTATTTTATAGAACCAGATTCAATTATATCTTCACAAAAACTTTACATATTTTATTATATTTTTAGCTGTTTTATAATTATTTTGTCCCCACCTGCACATCGGTAAACAGGAATACAGCATGCATCTCAGATGCACCCACTTTCCGTAGAATAAACTTTAGATCTTCGTGCCACTCATTAGGTCCGTAGAGTCGTGTAATTTCGACTTGAAAGAGCTCATAGTCACATATATGCGAAGCCAAACGAGTTAAGCTCTGACGTCCGGAGCCTCCGACTCCGATAAGTAGAGCATGACTACGTGGCTGCTTTATTATGCGACATATTCTCGACAAATGTTCGATGGCAAAGCGGAAGAGTACTAGGTTCATAGGTTTCTTCGACATATTATTATATTCAACCAAGTACGCTTCCACTACATTGCGCAAATTTTCAAGATCTAAAACCTCAATATAGTTCTTATTATCCGCCTTCGGATTTGCAAAATCGCAGTAGATTAAACGTCGTAGATCGGACTCAGTGAGTTTTTCGTCCTTCGGCACGAGTCGCTCGAATAAGCTCTCGGGTATACCATTCATATGCTGATTTATTTTGTGGCAAATTGCATCGAAAAGCCAACTGCGATCAGCATCCTCCACCAAACGATCACCATACACGCGCATCACTTCGTGTACCCACAGACGACGCATGGAGTCCAGGTCTTCGGTAGCTTCAGGCACCGACAACAACACTCCTTGTATGACACGCGAAAAGTCCCGCAAGTTAAAAAGATAATGTGACTTAGCTGGGGTGGGCAGCAGGTTCATCTTTGCCTCGTTGTAGATGTTTAAAGTAGCAGAAACAATTTCATCGATGCATGGATCAAACTCTTTCGAAAAACCACTGCAAAGGTGAAACGCGTATAGAAACGCTCTTAATATGTCCGTTACTTACCGTGTATCCAAATGCCAGAGTACGATCTTACTGAAGATCGTAACCAAAATCACATTATTAAATTCATCGATAGCAATTACATTAAAGTGTCGCTGAAATCTCGGTGTTACCGTATTGCCCGTAGAAGGCGGGCCCATTGCTGTTACCATTTGCAGGTCAATCAACTTCATTGGCACTATGTTCTTGCGATCATACCACATCCAGTGATCCAACAACATGCGCAACAACTCAATGGGTGGTTGTGCGCCATAGTTTTCCTTCAGTGGCATTGATACATCGTCCACAAATATGAGGAATTTCTTATTTAATGGTGGTCCAAAAACGCCTTTGCGGCGTTTATCCAGTTTCGACATGATTATATCCTGTGTTTGATTTGCCGAAGTTTGCGCTGAGAAGCTGATTAATAACGGCTTGTATGTATTGACTTCCATGCGCCTCAGCATATAATCCAAGGCGTAACAGCTTTTACCGGTACCAGTAGGTCCTACCAACATTATCGGTTTGCCATGACGTACCAATAAATCTAGAACCGCAGTAACACGTACACTTTCATTGGTCACAATAAGTATTTGATTGACTGGTATGTCGCGTGGTATTGGTGGTGCGCTAGTAACGTCGTCCTGCCATGGCTTCCACTTCCCTTTCCCTTCTTTAATGAATCGGTAGTCGAATACCGAACCCGCCTTTGGAATAGGGAAAATAAATGGCTTATTTAGAGAAGATACATATAGCTCTTCTGGTACACCGAAATCTTTATACAAATTTTCTGGAAAGTTCTTCTCCATTAGCGCCCGGAAGACTATATTGAATTTTTCACGACTCCGCGAATCCAGTGCACCGCCAAGTGACCAAATGCAGGAAAACACAAATATGCCTTCTATCTGTGCACGAAAATCTAAATCAGACAGGTTCGCAACATATTTTTCGTCTTTGAAATCATCGATGAAACACTCCAAAAGGTTCATCATCGAAATAACAAGATTGGTATCGGAGGTCGGTGCTATTTCGTATAAACCCCCCTTGCGTACAATATACAACAGTATAGGACAAAATCGAGCCACCAGCGTACTGATCAATTGTTTGCTGACGGCATGGAAGGAGGGCGGCAGACTGTTCTTCCACGATGTGACAAGCGGCTCCCAACCCAAAGAGCTGGGTTCCATGTATATCATGCCGCAGCGCGAAACTGTAGCTGGCGATGCAACCTCTAAATCCATTGGTTCAAAAATCAAGTTTGTGGTTGGTGAGAGCTGGATAATTTCACCGGACATTAGGCAAAGTTTCTTGTTGTCATCCAGTACAGTATTCATGTTCTCGATCCAGATAGCATCAACCGGACCATCGAAGATCAGCCACTTGCGATCAGGCGTGTCAGAGGTTGCAAATTGACGATAATTTACCGCAAGTACGCCATCGCTCCATTCGTGCGACACAGCATCGAATTGGCCATAAAGCTGTCCCATTGTGATTGCTTTTGGATTGATCACAGAGTAGATGGCACGCTTCTCGCTACCGTCCTATGAATGTGAATTAAGAAAAGTTAAGAATGTGTGCAATACGAGTACAAAGCATACAAATGACACTTGCCCGCTTCTCTATGCCTTCCAAAGCCTCTGCCAAAATGCGATAGGTTGTGGTTTTACCGCCAAAAGGCAAACCTACAATCATCAGTCCATGCCGGACGCAAATCATTTCATACAACTGGAAATTCGTCCAGTATAATATGTATGTATGTTTTTGTTTGCATGCTCATATTTGGCCTTAAAATAAGATGGTAACTCACCTGCTGAACCTTTTCCAAAAAGAAGTCTGTACACTGCTTATTATTCTTTTCGCAAGCCTCTCGGGTACATTCGTTAAAGACGGCATAATCCGCTTCGGGCAATACTGTGCCAGGAAACAGGTCCGATGTGATGCCTTGAAAGAGTGGGACATCTTGATTTAGAAATTTGGGCAAATTTACATCCTTAATTGAGCGCAGCACTAATATGTCTTCATTTTCATCACGATAACGCAGTTTGAGGGCGCCCGCTGCTTTCAGCACGGATTTCACAGCCCGCATGCCGTAATCGTAATGATATTGTGTACTCAATTGTTCCGAGCATAAGCGATAAGTAGCCACTATTTTGACGCTCAGTGGTTTGGCGGTAAGGAAGCCATACGAATACAATTCAATCTCGGAGATAAGCGCATAATCAGGTACCATCATAGCAACAGAACGGAAGAGTGCCTATAGCGGAATAAAAGGGGGATGAGAAATTCATATTAGGTAATCAGGTATATATAATATATGTGAATATACAAATGCATGCACTTAAGTAAAGTCCGACCGATTAATCGGCATCGGCTAGTATTGGCACAAAATTGAGCATCGGCATCGGCATCGGCCTTTATTCGCCGATTCTCTGCCGATTATTTGGAATTTCTTTTCATATGGCCAGGTGAAGCGACAGACAACAGGCAACATCAAAAAAATTTTGCAGACAGCTCACAAAAATCAATTTTTTTTTTTGGTTGAAGGTGTTTCACGCTTTTTCCATACAAAAGTATGTTCGAAAATTTTCTTTTATATGGAGGGCACTGCCAGCAAAGAAAAAATGCTAAAAACTAACGAGATTTTATAGCAGCTTGAAACTTGCACTTCATTATACTATTTAGAACTAAATGGTCTAGAAAACTGCATACCGAAATTCTGATTTAAGTTTGAAATTTTGGTAAAAATAAATAAATAAATTTTTCTAATTTATGTACAAAGTTTGAAATCTGAATTTATATGGTGTTTGTTGTGTGCCAGCTGGACTTTTATAAAAAAAACTAGCAGACCCGGCGAACTTCGTCCCGGCCAAAATTAATTTTTTTTATTGAAACATTTGGTACAACGTTTTCGCCAGCAATTCACGTTAACGTTTGGTTTTGTGGTCGACAGAAGGCATATCCTCCATTTCCGTCTTAAATAACCTGACGAAAGCGTTATACCGGGAAGAAGTCCTTGCGGCTCGATAGTGAATCGTCCTTGAATTTGTATAGTATAGTTGGTGGCAATTTCCAAACTGGTGAGTATCATTGGTCTACATTATGTTTAGTCACCGTAAAGCAAGGACCGCAATGGTTCTGATGGTTGATTTAACAAGAGGAATTTGACTTTGATCCCTGGTGCCTTCGAATCGACGATTTTTAGCAATAACTCGGCTCCAGCGCCACTAAAAATTATCATTAAAATCGTTTCGGTCGTTTAGGAGGAGTTAAGCCACCAGAATAAGTCTTTTACATACTGACACTCTTCGGCATTTTTTTCCCTTACAAAAAACCTATCACACATTCGTTATACGGAGAAAATGCGCAACATCATCAGCGAAAAAAAATCTCAAAAATCAACGGTAACTTATAGCCATTTAAAACTTGCACTTTATGATACTGAAATTGAGTGAACTAAAAAACTGCTTACTTAAAATTTGGTGCCATTTGATGCAAAATTATCTATATTCCTATAAAAAATTAACAAAGAAATTTATTATGAAAAAGAAAATACACTGTATATATTTACAGATAGGTAAAAGTTTCAATATGTTTGGAAAACGCCACGGCCCAAAAATCTCTATACTAATTTCCAGGAACTACCACAAATACTTCTAGAGATTGCGGTATAAAAATTCGATATGTACGTTCCCTTAATATATCCAAAGTCTGCAGTAGGTGTCCAAACTTCCAAAAAATCGGTACAGCCGTTCGCGAGATAACCTTTTATAAAAAGAAGGAGCTTCTCTTTATATAATTAGTGCAGGTAGCACAGGGCAACACCGATTATGATGCGGCAAATGTTAAAACTGTTTTTGATAGGCTTTTTTGTGCTGATTAAGAATCTGTAGGTATAAAGATCCATCAGCTCCAAATTTTTAGAGAAATGTGGTGAAAGTGTCAAAAAATCGCGTTTTTTGCAATATTTGAGAAGCTCTAGCAATGAAACAAAAGGTGATAGAGCCTTCCTTAAATTAAAGCCCGAACTACAGACTACTATCCCTGAAAGTACTATTCCTGCACCTTGTCCTGATAGTTACCTATACTTATTTACTTTTTATCGTCGAACAATAAAAAAAATACTGGAAAATTATGCATTTGAAAAGGTCCAAGCCTTAATTTAAGCCTAAGTGGAAGGTTCTATCATCTTTTGCTTAATTGCGGTAGGTACTCAAACTTCCCAAAATCAGTTATTCCTGTTCAACAAATGACTACAAGTGACCATCAAGCAAAGATGCAGGAATTTGCAAGGATAGTATTCGAGATTTTTAGCTTTAATTAAAGCCAAAGTGGAAGGTTCTACACCCTTTGTTTCTTTGCTAGAGCTTCTCAAATATTGAAAAAAACGCGATGTTTTGACACTTCGAGCTCGTTTTTTTTGTAAATCTGGAGCTGATGGAAACTTTATGCTTACGGATTCGTAATCAGCACACGCAAATTCGGCAAAAATGGCGCCAAAATTTGCTGCATAAAGCTTTTTTCCCATTTTTGTTCGTCTGTGTAATAAGTATTGTTAAATAGCCAATATCCGCATGTTTGCGCCGCCTACACCTTTCGAACTGTAAAACAATGACTGGATTATATTCTACGCATATCGCAAAACGGTGCATAAATAAGATTTTTTGGAATAGATCGGTACCAGTACGTGCCAAATTTCAAGTAAATCGGTCCATAAATAAGACTTTTTCGGTTAGATCGGTCCCTGGCCCAATGAACGGAAAAAATTTATCCTATATGCTAATCTAGGCATAAGGCTACCAACGAATCAAATGCATTTTTTAGCGTAGCTCCTTCTTCTAAACACCTTTCCAAAAGAGCAGCACCCATTCGAATCGGTTATGAAACATAGGAGAAAATTGTTAGCAATTGATTCATGCTCCTAATGAATTTCACAATTATCCGAAATTTTCCAAGCTTGCGTTGAAAAAAATTCAAATCTTTCGCGTTCTTCCAGACTTTTCCAAGTTTTCCATTTAGACTTTTTTATTTTTCCATTCGAATGCCAGTCTGAAGGAATTGCACACAAAATTCCATACAAAAAAATCAATTTTCGATTTTTCCTACTTCCCGACTTTCGCGGAGGGTTTTCCCAAAATTTGCTTTCGCAAAAACCTTCTGCTGGCAATTACGAGCAACTAAAAAAGTTTTAGCCAAATCGGCCCAATCGTTCTCAATTGATGAATAACGATACATTTTTCACACCATTTTTATATACAGGGTGTCCCAGAAGTACCATGTAGGGAAAACACGAACTAGTGAACCAGATTTCTAGTTCAGTTCTAGTTCTTTTTTGCCAAAAACGAACCAGACCGATAGTAACTAGTTCCGCACCAGTCCAAAAGCAGTGAAATGTGGTACTTTCACTAAACTATTCTATTTTAAATTTTAAAAGCAGGGAAGGTAATCATCATGAGTAAAATAATTTAAATCAGCATTTAATCATTATTTTATGAATTATTATTGAGTATTATTTTTTCGCTCAAACGGAAATAATTATTATTTTATTTTTATTTTTGGGATTACTTATAATGATTATTTTATGATTTTTATTTTTTCGCGCAGAGATTATCATTAATTTTCAGTTTTATTTTTCCACTTAAAAATAATGATAATTTATAAAATTGAAAAGGCCATAAAGACGCAACCTACTGAAATTTTGACCTTAAAAGTTTGGGTCTTATTCCTCTTATAAGGGTGCGGCTACCTCTCAAAAGGATACGTCGGTAATCACGCTGGTATAGTTTTTGAGTTGCTTAATAATCATTATACTTAGCGATGAAGGACAATTGAGAAAGGCAATGCAGTTGCAGAAAAAGAGACATTTAAAAAAAAAAGTGTCAAAATAATTATCACTTTCTCACTAAATTTATTTAAAAATGCAAGCCACCAGAGCTACCTTTTTTTTAAGAAAAGACAAGTTAATTTTTTTTATGCAATCCAGCACAGCTACCTTAATACAGTCAGTCAATAAAGTTTAGGTACAACGAATTTTTTACAATAAGGGCAACTATTTTTTAAATATTTTAGTTTTCGGTAATTTTTTATAAAAATATAGTCAATTCTACAACAAAATCCCCGAAAATCAGAGTTCCAAGCCTTGTGCAAAATTTAAGAAAATTCTGCAAAATTCCATTAAAATAATTCACTTTCTATTTACGCTATCTAGAAAAAAGTTGAGTTTGCAGTTTTTTAGCCCATTCAATTTTAGTATAATGAAGTGCAAGTATGAGGAAGCTAGGACTTACCAAACAACAAAAAACAATATTGCTAAATATGAATGGTAAGTCCTAGCTACCTCAAACTTGCACTTTGTTATACTAAAATTGGTTATTTTAATTTACATAACCTTCACAGTTGGCAGATAGACAATCCTCACGAAATGAGAGAAGATCGTTCGCAGTACCGGTACAAAATAAATTTATGGTGCGGTATTTTTAATTGTCAGATATTGGTACCTGTGGATCTGCCGCCAACGCTCAACTTTCACAGTTATGTAGAGTTCTTGCAAACGTGATGGTTATTTTAATTTACATAACCTTCACAGTTGGCAGATAGACAATCCTCACGAAATGAGAGAAGATCGTTCGCAGTACCGGTACAAAATAAATTTATGGTGCGGTATTTTTAATTGTCAGATATTGGTACCTGTGGATCTGCCGCCAACGCTCAACTTTCACAGTTATGTAGAGTTCCTTCAGGAACGGCTTCCAACTCTTTTAGAAGATGTACCCTTAAACCTGCGGCGGAGACTTTAGCTGCAAAATGACGGGTGCCCTGCTCACTACGGGCGTGAAGTAAAAGCTCACTTAGACGAAACTTATCCTCGCCGATGGATTGGGCGATACAGGCCAATCACGTGGCCCGCTCGATCGCCAGACCTGAATCCATTAGATTTTTTCAACTGGGGCTGTCTTAGGGACAAAATTTATTCAAAAACAATTCAAAACGAAGAGCATTTGCGGGAACAAATAAATGGAGCTGCTGCTGAGATAGCCCAATTGAGTTTAAGATCCCTAAAAGCGTATTTTCTTAAAAGGTGCCGAGCTTGTATTAGAGTAGAAGGTCTCCAATTTGAGCATATTTTTTCAATAAATGAATAAATTTTCTTCAAACTACTCATGTATATTTTATTTCACGTGAACCCATCCTCCACAAAACATATTAATAGATATAGCCCTTGTTATAGACTCTAGTCCGAATTCCGGTAAGTAACAT